ACCCTGAAAGGTCAGCTGCCACTAAAAATGAAATATTCAATGAAAGCGCCAGGTACACATATGAAAAGTGCAATGAAATCTCCTAGGAATAAGAATGAAATATCCATTGAAAGCGCCAGGCATCCAAATGAGAAACGCAATGAGATATCCTGGGGCTAGCAATGAAATATCCAATGAAAGCACCAGGTATATCTATGAAAAGTCCAATGAAATATCCTAGGAACAAGAATGAAATATCCATTGAAACCGCCAGGCATTCAGATGAAAAGCACAATGAAATATCCTGGGGCTAACAATGAAATATCCAATGAAACCGCCAGATATATATATGAAAACTCCAATGAAATGTCCTGGAGCTAATAATGAAATATTCATTGAAAGCGCCAGGTATCCATATGAAAATTGCAATGAAATATCCTGGGGATGAGAATGAAATATATATTGAAAGCACCAGGTGTCCATATGAAAATTGCAATGAAATATCCTGGGGTTGAGAATGAAATGTATATTGAAAGCACCAGGTATCCATATGAAAATCGCAATGAAATATCCTAGAACAATGAGATATGCGATCTCATTGAACCTCTAGGCATTATACACATCGCCCTCCAGGCATATGTCTGGTTTTTATCATAAAAGTGTATACCACCCATCATGGTTCTCGATTCCGCCTTGGTGACGTGTGGTGCGGGAGTCGACATTCGCTCTATCATCACAGGATTTGACCTGCTCCGAGTTGTCGTGAAAGACCTTCCGCACAACACCAATTTCAACGAGGTGGCGACAGCATTCACTTTATCCGGTGTCAATCCCGAAAATGTCATCCTACAGGAGACGAAACCCAATGGTCGACTTGCAGATGCTATTTTTCTGATAAAGGCGGACCAACTTGAACCAACTGCATTTGGTTCAGATCGCACCATTGATTTCCAAAGTCGGCGTTTTCTGTTCGAAGTCGGCCCAATTTCTTCTGAAGATTCTATGACCCTTTCGTCGCAGAACACCAACACCCTGACTGTTTATTGGCGAGTTCCATCCACATCAATGATCGCCACTTACCCCACATTGGAAGTCGCGAAAGCTAAGGCTAAGGAGCTTGATGCCAAGATGTTACGTGGTCACAGAGTGAAGCCGTCATGAATAACCCGCCACCGAAGTCTCACAGCTGGCGGGAGTTCAACCCTGCTTCGGTCAAACTTATGATCTTCCGTTAACGTGCCATGACC